ATATTTTTACGGTAGGAAATTTACAAAATATCTTCATGGAACATGATCTTTACTTAATATCCTAATGATTTTTGGCATGAAAAAAAATCGATAATTTTGACCCATACAATGTTTTTTTGGCTATTGCTAAAAATATACCCAAGCGACTTAAGACTGGTTTTGTGGTCCAGGGTCACAAATATGGACTGTGTAAATATAACATCCCGACATTTATCCATTTTGACATTACCAGTAAATATGCAATATGGTGTAAACACCTGTATTCTGTCTAAAACTAATAAATGGCAGATCTTAAAACTCAAAAAATGCAATGCTGCATTCTAATGTACAGTATTAAAAAGGCAAAGGCAATCTAAATGTAAAAATAGGGAAACAACCACAAACATTTAAATATCCAACACCGACCAATACTGAAAAATTACAAATAAGGTCAAATTAAATACATTTTAACAAAATATATAATGGAAATACAAAATTAGATAGGGCTATCTTATTTTGGGTTAACATTTAGATTTTTTTAACTATCCCTTCAAGTCAATATAAAAGCTGTACAAGACTGACTGTAACTAATACTAGTATCACTGTATTACACAGAGAAATGGAAGTGGAGGAAGTACCTGTTGCACTGGCAGTAGTCTTTGTCTGTAAGAGGCTGTCGCATGGATCTCAGCTTCCTCACCCTCTTCTATGTAAAAAAAAAACCCACAACATTAAATGAGCCACTTCCTTTCTTGCTTGCTTGTTTTCTTTCTCTCACCTTCATCCGTTTGTTCCTTCGTATGACAACACCAATCACGATGATAAGTCCGATCAGAAACACAGAACTGGCTCCTACAGCAATCCAGATCCACAGCTTTAGACCATACACTTCTTTGGTCAAGGATTCCATAACTGCATTTGGTTTCCCTTTACTTTTAGTGGACACCTTTCCACCTGTTCAGTAATCATTATAACAGAGACTTAGTGCACATAAAAGGGCCTCATTTCTACTGTAGAATGAGATTCATGCTTCTAGGGATGCAGTGATAATAACATTCTGACAGATACCAATATTTATTTTCATGTTATGGCTGATAACCGATAAATGGCTGATATTATATATGACTATTCTGTCAAATTAAAAATAACACAAAAGATCTAATTTAGGCATCTAAAATGTTAATGTAAAGTATGAAAAAATATATTTATTATTTTAAATATTATCTTTAAGTGAGAGTTAGATGACAGCTACCATAATCTAAATGTAAATATAGGGTAAATGAGCATACACAATTAAATGTCCATTATCAATATGTATATAGACAGTACTGACTAATCTCTAACATCTGCCAATAAATTATAAGGTTCTGATAAAAAAGTGTGCATCCCAAGACTGATTCTGTTAAGCTGTGCAGTGTTGTTTTATTTTACCTGAAGGTTTGTCCACAACCCTCAATGTCGTCTCGACACTTAGACGCACTCCACCCTCAAACTCCACTGTACACACAAACGTCCCTTCATCACTGCTCTGCACCTGAGAGAATATGAGGGGAAATTACTGTCAACATACAAAAACTTTTTTTTTTTTGGTATGGATTATTCCATGAGAAACCTTTAACATCCATGGAAACTTTTCAGTTGCACAAATAGTTCTTTATACAGGAAAATCATTCTTTAGATGATTAAAACAGTGTAAAGTATTCACATTTTTCAATGTGACATCAAAGTTGGTGCTGAGTTGCCCAGAAGTAAAGTTGACTTTTGATAAATCCTTGCCATTCCAGTGTAAGCCTTTGCTTGGTGTGTTCGTCAGGGTTGGGAAAGAGACTTTGGGAAGGTGGTTAGCCTTCCATGTCCCACCCACAACACGCTGAAATACACTCTGAGGAAGAGAACAGGACAGCTCTATGTCATCCCCTTTAGAAGCATTAACAGCTGTGGTCTGGAGACCTGTTGGAGAACCAGACAAATGTCACTGACAGCATGAAATGTGAAGCATTATAGTAATAAAAAATACTCATTCTGAATAACAACTACGAAGGGGCACCAACCAACAACAGTCAATGTTACACTGAGCTTCAAGTCATCCTTGACTAGACACGTCCACTGGCCTGCTTCATTTGAAGTCACAGACTTCAGGTGAATTACTTGATTTTTTTCATTATATTTTTGACCATTAGGTCTCAGCCACTGTACTTCCTTCTTTGGGTCTCCTGTAATTTCACAGTGCAGCTCTGCATTACTGGACTGCACCGGCACTGGGCCTGGTTTAACAAAGACTGAAAGAGAAATGGGAATAAATATGAAAATACAATAATTCTAAAAATAAATAGGTACAAACATAAAAAATATCTCACCTGACACAACATGCACAATGTGTTCTTTCCCTGACTGCCTACAGAAATAGTTTCCAGAGTCTCTTGTCTCCAGTCTAGGAACCTTCAAAATGTCTCCAGATACACTTGCTTTTGACGCAATATGGGAAAGACCTTTAAAATAAAAATTAATTACAGTGACTTCTCACAAAATTTCATATTCAAATCATTTTTGGATTGAAAGGAGAAGAACTGATACCCTTCCGTCTAGTCCCACGTCTGCCATCAATGGTTAAGACCAACACGTTGTTCAATTTCCATTCTATATTACTGTTTGAATCCACTCCACACTTCATGGAAACCTCATCCCCGATTTGCTTATAAAACACATCACATTTCCCACACCATATACACAGTGCTGAAGGAGAGAAGGATGGAGAGCAAGGAGGGTTAAACACAGCAAGATGAAGAAAGCTCTACAGGCAAAGTATAGACTGCTTAAAATAAAATGTATAGTACAGCTTAGAATAATACAATGCATGTTATTAATTTATTTATGCTTACCAAGAAGAAAAAAGATGATCTTGCAAATTGCCATTCTGTTCCTTTTTCTAAAAAAATATAGTCAATAAAAATGAGTTTCTTTTTAAATAAAAAGCGTGGAGTTATATTAAGATTTATTTTCGGCGAGAAAACCCTAACTAGTTTATTTTTGTTCATAAAAAGAGGCTCATGCTTTTACAAAGAAAAAAGAGCAAACAGGAAAAAGCATGTGACTATGAGCCACAAACGCAACTCACTTAACTCATTTTGTTTCGTTTTCATTCGTTTCGTTTGGTCTAGAAATATTCATAATTTCAACTGATTAAATTCGAATAATCTGAGATAAATGAAAAATTTAAATGACTTTTAAGCTAAACAAACTACCAGCAAAATAATAATAGAATGCCTCCAGATTGCTACACATAGGCCTACTTAAAAAACAAACAATGAAAATGTTTACTGTATGTTTTAATCAAAGCTTTAATGTACTTCTAATGTATATTAATATACGCAAGATTCCCTTAGTATTTGTAGGGCAAATGAACATTTCTATTTGGATATGCAATACTATTACAGATTATTGTCATTAAAGGATAGGATGACAAATTTTTATAAATCCTGCAAAAATCATTTGATTAGGCTATTATAATCTAAAAATGTGTATTTGTCGTTTACTTCCAACTCTTAGCAATTTTAAATTTGAAAAAAAAAATGCAAGTCAGTCGATAGACATATGATTAGCCTACATATTTAATATTTAAAACGCAATAAAGTTAACGAAAAGATAAAACATGAGTAGGCTATCATGGCTTCAGATCGAGTGCTAAAGAAAATCTTCTTTTGGTTGTTAAATATCTCGAGCAGCAAAAATCAATCATTCTGCGGGTACTTATATATTTTTATCTGGATTTTCAATGTTTTTATTTAAGAAACCATTCGCTTATGCAAGTTAGGTATTTTTATAGCTGAACGCTCTTCTTTTCATACTCACGTTTGGAACTCACGTTATGTTTGTTGACAAAGTTTGAGGTAAGTTCTGCGCATTTAGTCCAACTGGTAAAAACTAGCGTGTGCGGGAAACCAGCCGACACAAAAACCTGAACCTGCACAAGAAACTGAAATGAGGTATGAGAGCGGAAGAAAGCAAAAAAAATTGTTTGGAGAGAAACAACCAATGTAGGGCAGAAAACGCCTCTCACATGCACTTCACTCTGGGAAATCCTTGAAATAAGGTTAGAGAATTAAGTTTATAAAAAGGGTCATAATAACGTAATATACAAATAAATTAATTTAAAAAAATCAATAATCGATGTCAGCATTTGCATATTAATACAAGTATTGGCTTCTTAGTACAGTCAACATTTATAAAACCCACAGGACTTTGGCCACTGAACTAATTTACTTACAAAAGCTTATCAGCAGTGAAACATCACTTTAACTTTCCGTTGTTAACTAGATCAATTACCAAATGTAATTCGTGTTCTTTATACACTTAGAAGAGTTTCATGCTTTTACGTTTATCAATACTCTTTCCACTTTCAGTATTGCCAGTGCATTCACATATGTTACTTTCTGTCACTGCATTTGGCAGAAAATTCCTTTATACACATCCATAAACAATACACAGAGTCAGAAGCAGCAAAGAGACACTTTTTTTTTATTATTTTAAAGCAAAAAGAACAAAAGGAATTCTTCCCTCCCCCCAAAAAAGAGAACAAAACCTAAGGAAAAAGGTGAAACTGGACAATAACTTTTGCATTCATTTTTTAAATGTAAAATTCCAATATATAATATTTAGCCGTTTTTTTTGTGATTTAGTGACATTTACCTGCCATTAAACATTTGCAGGAACATTCTGAAACACATAAAGGAAGGAAGGTGGAGCTTAGCTCTAAAAGCGATGATGTCACAATAGACACTATTCAATCAGGGGGAGGCAGGAAGGAGACTAGTGTGTGTGTGTGTGTGTGTGTGTGTTATGTGTTATGTGTTATGTGTTATGTGTTATGTGTGTATGTGTGTGTGCGTGTGTGCGTGTGTGTGTGTGTGTGTGGTAAGCACTGATCTATAATAGATTAGTGGTGGTAAGGCGTTGTAGCCTACAACATGGACGTTTTGAGTAAGAACACTCTAATCCTCACATCTTACATCTCATTTTTTCCCCTTCTGTCATTATTATGTCTGGGTTCTCTTAGTAGTGAATATATTTGATGGAGAAGTGCTTTGACTTATTAAATGGTGCATCAGTTTAGAAGCAGGAGTCTGGGCCTACTGTTTCAGTAGATCAGACACAGATGAGTGTGTGTGTGTGTGTGTGTCTGTGAGGAAAATACTATTTTAATTTACTCTATTCCACCACTCTTCGGTAAAAGTACAGATAGCCAAGGTCCTTAGGTGGTTTCTCAGAGGCACAAACTTTCTGATCGTTGAAGATTACCCACCTGAAAGAAGCAAAGAGTAACAATGAAAACATTAATATTGAGAAAAAGTGATATTGCTGTATAAGAGCTGCATATGAACAATGATAGAGAGAGATGGAGAAAGAACTTCACTCACTGGTGGTCCTTCTTTATGTGGCAGACATAATGACCACACATTGTGCTCGTTCCCATGTGACTGATGAACGCAAAAAGCTCATACTCTTCAGGACAAAAGAATGGGAAAGATGAGAAGAGAGCAAAATATTTATGATCCTGTTTACAAAAATCACCATTTAATAAATACCACAGAAACACATACTTCCTGGTCCATCACGGACACGCGGCCCTGGAGGAGGTTCCCGACTGGCTTCACTTCCTCCCTCTGAGCGCCCATTAGACTAGAGACCTGCACTCCCGCGGGAGTACCGCGGGACCCAACGCAACAGGGTGCGGCGCGGGACAACTCTTGAGTGCGGTGCGGGCGGGAAGAGACTCGTGTGTGTGCAGGATGCAGGAGAATAAAATGATTCGCGGGACTCCCGCAAAATAGAAGTTATTTAAACATAAAGTGTCTAAAACATATAAATTGTTATTTATCTGTTGCACAAAAGCAAAAAGAACAACTAATATTAACATTAAAATGATTGACATGCGCAAGCTAGGCATAGTTTCTATTTATAACACGTATTTAAAGGGTTGCGCAATGTAGCCAATCACAGACTCAGCTGTTGATTTCTGGAACGCAATGGCCAATCAGAGGTGAATGAGTTAGAATCTACTCACCGCAGGGCTGAAATTGCGTGCTCACGAATCCTCTTATTTTAACACACGAAGTGTAGACATTGTAAAAGATTCATTGTGCTTATATTTATTGTGTTATAACAGAGCTTTATGAGATCGCGATTAACTGAGGTGTCAGTTTTTAGTGATAATAAAGGAAGCAGCCCATGCTTGCTTTTCTGTTGTGAATGTTGATGCCTAGCCTAAATAACAAATATTTTATCGGGAGTGTTTATGCTGGGATGTTGTGGAGCTTAGGAGATCTTACAGAACCATTTCATGTAAATTTCTTCGATGTAGGCTACTGAAAAAAAATCTATATAGATTGTGACCATACGTGCCATTTTCCCAGGACGCGTCCTGGCCAGGATTTCTATATTGCCTAAAATATCTAGGTTTTGGCTTTGTTTGCGTGTGCAGACCAATCGGTGTATGACAATGAAGTACCATACAGATGGTTATGCTTTCGAAACGCTCTCGAGGTACTTTGATGTCAAACACTGATCGGTCTGAGCCGCACTGCTTTTAAGTCGAACACACCTAATATGTACGCGTAATTGCATCGCTTTGACCGTAGATCCCACCTTCTCACACGCCATGATTGGTCCATTGCGTACAATGCGTGCATGTTATTTGGTCAAACTATTTTTCGATCATTACCTTCAGCAAGCATGAAAACAGGAAAACAAAGCCAAAACAAATCCTGGCCAGGACGCGTCCTGGGAAAAGGTCTCTACCTCAGACACATCCATGGACTCCAGATCATCCAGATGAGAGAAGATCCAGTCTACGGCTCGCTCGAGAACATTATTCTACAAATACAGTTATAAAGTGTGTGTACGCACAGATTTGATCTTGGAGTGTGTGTACGCTTAAATCCATGCCAACGCTCATGTAAAAAGTGCCTTTAATTTAATAAAGTGCTTAGCGTCATGTCAGGGTCTGAGCATACAGTATCGTACTCACTTTTTCTTGTCGGAGTAGGCCTACTGCTGGTCTTTGGAAACGTAAGCTGTTCTGTTCTAAATTAAAGGGTTTGGATGATGACTGGTGATCTTTTAGGCTATATGTTAATGACATTAATTAGGAGTCGTTTAGAAGACAGAGAGCTGAAACCATTCAGTTATGCACAAGTTCAAGATAATTTGTGATTAATAGATTTTACATCTGAAAGAGAGGCGTACATGTGTTTTCCGTGGTTTCTGCTCAACATTTTATAAATTGAGGCCCTAGGTCTCAACTCCTAAATTTCTTAAAGGGGTCATATGATGGGATTTCAATTTTTCCTTTCTCTTTGAAGTGTTACAAATATGGGGTGCTGTGTGTACATTAATGAGGAAAAAAATTAACTTAAATGATTTTAGCAAATGGCTGCAATATAACAAAGAGTGAAAAATTTAAGGGGGTCTGAATACTTTCCGTACCCACTGTACATACAAATTATCATTGTCAGGGTCTGGCCTCTGTGGTTCTCCCTCTCACCACCAGAGGTCGCCATCTCCCATCCTCCCGGACTCCCTTTCCGTCACCTTGACTCCACACACCTGTGCACACACTCACTCACACACAGCTGTGTCCCATCCTGAGGGCTATTTATGCGTCTTCCCCACGCCACACCGGGCGGATTATTAATGATCGTTACTAGTTGTATAGTGTTTGTACCGGGACTGATGCAAGCCAAGTGGCCGTATTGCATCCGAGTCCATCTCCGTTTCAAGCCTGTTTTCAGATTCTTAGATCTGTTTGTGTTTCTGCTTTTACCTTTGTTTTTCCCCCTGCAGTCAAATAAACCTGCATTTGGACCCAGACCCTTTGTTTACACGGTGTGTTTTCCTGACCGCGCCGTGACACATATGACCCCTTTAAGGGGTGTAACATTTCTTCCACACGCTTGAGGTATTCGGCCAATCACAACGCACTGGATAGCTGGCCAATCAGAGCACACCTCGCTTTTCAGTCTGATGAACTTTGTAAAAATTGACCAGAAAGGCGGGGCATAGAGGAGAAACAATAATGTATAGTATGTGGAAAATAATGTTTTTTGAACCTTAAACTGCATAAACACATTTCATTACACCAAATACACAAAATAATGTTCTTTTTAGCAACATCATATGACCCCTTTAAGAGTGCTGGAGAAGTCTAGTTAGGAGTAACAAGATGGCAGCAGAGAGGAGGAGACCAATGTGTTGAAATTAGGCTATATGACAGGGGTGGCGAACGTCGGTCCTGGAGAGCCGCAGCCCTGCAGAGTTTTGCTTCAACCCTAATCAAACACACCTGAACATGCTAATCAAGGTCTGAAGGGTTACTAGAAAGCTACAGGCAGGTAGGTTTTAATTAGGGTTGGAGCTGTACTCTGCAGGGCTGCGGCTCTCCAGGACCGGAGTTCGCCACCCCTGCTATATGAGGACAGGGAGTTGATAAAATCATCAAGGCATTCTTTTTGTCACTGAAATTCTATAACCTCCCACACTACAAAACAATGCTTTATCTACAGAAATAAAAAGTCATAATGACTCTGCGTTTTTTGGCTACTGGAAAAATGCAGCAATGCACCAGTGTTGATTTGGGCCCATCACAGTCCACAGTCAGCAGGGCCTTAAAGGGGTCACATGACGTTGCTGAAAAAGAACATTATTTTGTATATTTGTTGTAATGAAATGTGTTTATGTGGTTTAAGGTTAAAAAAACACATTATTTTCCACATACTGTACATTATTGTTTCTCCTCTATGCCCCGCCTTTCTGAAACATGTAGATTTTTACAAAGCTCATAGTTCTGAAAAGCGAGGTGTACACTAATTGGCCAGCTATCCAGTGCGTTGTGATTGGCCGAATACCTCAAGCGTGTGACAGAAATGTTACACCCCTTACCATATTGTGATGCTGTATTCCGGCATGACGAGACAAAACCAATAAAACCCATTACAAACGAGGCATTTGTTGCATCCAGTGGGGAAATAATTACTGATTATAATGACTTGTACTGTCTTTTTACGCGTTGCGTTGCATCCGAGTAAACATAAAATCATGTCTGCATTTGTGATCGGAGAAATGACAAACAAC